GTTCTGCTTTAATCGTTTATATTTACATAAAAGATTTGGAGCAAATAAGCTTTAATGACAAGAATGATTTTATTATTTATTTGCACAATAAAAGACATCAACGCAAAGATTAATGAAAGCCCCGCAGGCCTGACAGTAAATCTCACATTAACATAATGGAAACAAACACAAAATAAAAACTAAATGAACTCATTTACATCCTTCAAAATAAAAGTTACAAAAGGTCATTTAAAATATGTAAACAATGTTTTATAAAAGAACAAGAAACAGCTCTGGTTTATTAAAGAAGATAATGAAATTTTCATAATTAAATCTGGAATATTTAAAGTTAAGATTGTTTCCTGTATAAAACTTTCCTGTTTAACTGTTTTCAATTGAAGTTTTGATGATGGAAATGAAACTCAGTCGTGTTCAAAAGGAAACAATAGAAGCAGGAAGGATCCCTGAGCTCAATAATCTGGATTTTAATCTGGATTTAAAGTAGTTTTTTTTTTCTACGTTGCTCTGAAATAACTTTTGTTGGGAGTTGGAGCTAAATAAATAAACTGAACTGATTTAATATTTAAATTTAATAGAATTTAATCCTTGTAATGAAAACGTATTTATTTGAAGTTGTTTGTGTCAGAAAGCAGGTAGATTTAATGCTGAGCGTCACATAATGGAGGAGAGAAGTCAAACAGGAAGTGGTCCAGGTGCAGCAGGTAAACAGAGATCAGCTGTGATCAGTTGTGCTTTGAGCTTCATGGAGACGCTTTGTTCAGCTGCAGCTTCAGATGAGGAACCAAATGTTCCAGTTCCTCCTGCGATGCAGCTGATGAAGGCAAAACTTTTACTCTGAGATGTGTTTAGATTCGGAGCAGAGCAGGATTTTAAATGGACCAATTTAATCCATTAAGCCAAACAAATGATGGAAATTAAAGACACCTGACAGATGTTTGACTGCGAGAACAGCTGGAAACAAAAGGTTTGTGGAGGGAAGGAGTTTTACTGTGCTGGTTTTAGCTAGCTAAATATTTAACTTAAATATTTAACTTGAATATTTAGCTAGCTACCTAAATATTCAACAAATATTTGACTTGCTAGCTAAATATAAAGTTGCAACCTAAATATTCAAGTTAAATATTTAGTTTATAAACTATGACATTTATAAATGTATGAATCATTTGGTGAAAAACTGACTTTGAAAAATAAATCTGTTCATTTTTTCTTATAAAGGATAAATAAACAAAAATATTGGTGGTAATTTTTGACTGTGTAACTTTACAAACGGCAGCCTACAGACATGTTATCACCTCTAACAACCAGAATGTGTTTGGTGCCTTTTTTTCTGACTCTGTTCGGGTCTTTGGCTTAGACTGAATGTAAGAACCAGGGCCCTCATGTATAAACGGTGCGTACGTATAAAAAAAGTTGCGTGCGCCAGGTTCTACGCCCATGTTGTGATGTATAAAAACCAACGCTGCTGTGAGAATGTGCGGCAGCCACGCAAAGTTTTTCATTCGACAGTTTTAACTCACAAAGTCATGAATCTGACCTGAATCCACAGAAATATGACTCTGTTGTGTTTTCTGGATGTAAGGAGCGTCTGAACACGCTGTTAGATTTTTATTTTACTTTGAGTTTTTATTGTTTAAACTTGAACGATCGTGAAACTGAAAATCTTTTAACCTCAGACAAGAAAATAGATCAGTCTAAAAATGATCAAAGACCCTCAGTCCAGTCTGTAAACTGGTTTTATATTTGTCACGAGTTGTAAACACACGCAGAGCGCATGGCTTTCACAGCTGAGGAGAATAAAATGTGTGAATTATTTAAGAAACATTTTTAATTCTCACTGAGAAAAAAATGTCAACTCAGCAGATTAATTGAGAACAGCTCAGCTGTGATGATTCCTCAGCTCCACAAGATGCACACAATAGATTCGTTGCTGTGTAAAGTTGTGCGTAATTTATGGATCAATGTTAGCTGTTCTGCAGGTTGATATCACCACAAGAAGAATGGAGGACAGCGAGTTTTTTTATTTTTATTTTTTTGTATCACAGAACAAATACAATCAGGTATTTTACTGTAATGAGCTGAGCCATGCAGCTGATCTGAATGAGAAACTTCATGATTCTAAAATATAAATCACACAAACTCGTTTCTTCACATCAACTATTTAATAAATATGTTTCTAAGTTCTACAAAAGTTATCAGTTTCTCTGTGTTTAGTCATTTATTAAAGACGTGTAAAGGTGGAAATATCTCTCAGCCTCATGCGCCGCTGCAGCACACGCGCGTACACACCAACACACACCTTTGCGTGCGGCAAACTAATTTTTACACCCCGCTGACAATTTTCTCACTCATTCTCCTTTTAATTTATATTTTCCTGCATCTAAAAATGATTTCTGATCCCAGACAGAGGACAATCTGAGGAGAATCTCACACTCTGGACACATTTAATGGAGGCGTGTCAGGGGTAGGGGTTGGGCAATATTGGCAAAAAAATTAATCATGATTAATTGTGGTATTTAGCCGATAACGATTAATTTGACGATTAATCCCCTGGAGTCCCTGGACACCCTTATGTCCTAGTCACATGACCGATTTAGTGGGAAATATTTGCTCTTCATAAAAAAATCTGTTCCAAATTGTCAAAATTACAGACTTCGGGCTATACATCTCATTTTAAATTGTGTTGATAGATAAATAAATTACAGATTTAATTTTTAAATTTTCGTCATATTTGAAGAGGAGAGGAGCACCGAGCAGACCGACCGGGGAAATCTCCAGTCAGTCTGTCTGCTGGCAGTAATCGTATTAATCGTCAAGTGCCAAAGAATAATCGATTAATGTTTTTCTGATGGTTAATTGCACACGATACGTTTATGCCCAACCCTAGTCAGGGGAGGAGTCTCAGGTGTGCTCAGTTCCACGTTCATTGGGATGTATAAAGGAAAGGAGCGCGGGAACCTGTGTGCGCACTAGGGCTGCAACAAGCCTTTATTTTAATAATCGATTAGTCGTTGATTAATCATGGCAGCCCTAGTGTGCACAGTTTTATACATCTGAATATTTTGGTGTGGCACACTTTTCTAAATTTGTCAACTTTTAGTGTGAAAGCTGCGCAATCCTTTATGCATGAGGCCCCTGGTTTGTAAGCTTAAAATCTGATGTGTTTTCAGAGTGAGCGGAGAGGACGTGTACGGACTAATCATCCCGTTGGTCACCAGCACTGTCGGGGACAAACTGGGCAAAACTGCAGGCAACGCAGTGTGGCTGAACAAGGACAAGACTTCTACCTTTGAGCTGTACCAGTTCTTCCTCAGGCTGCCTGACAACAGTGTAGAGGAGTAAGTCAGTTCTGTTATGTGATTAAAAGTCAGTATTTGACAGTTGTTGTTTTTTTTTTTTTGTTTTTTTTTTTGCAAACTAATTTTGTTTTGCATCACAAGTATTCTATAAAGTGCACTGTAAGAGGAAGCTGATGTGTTGCAGGTACCTGAGGTTGTTCACCTTTCTGCCTGAGGCTGCGTTGGAGAACCTGATGGAGCAGCAGAGAGAGGATCCAAGCAAACGCCTCGCTCAAAAACGACTGGCTGCAGAAGTGACCAAACTGGTGCATGGAAAAGAAGGGCTCGAGAGTGCCAAGAGGTCAGAATTCAGCTCTCTCTCTCTCGGTGTTTGTTATTTTATTTTTTTATTTGTTTCTTCACATTTTAGAACCTTTTTTATAAATGCCTACCTTGTCAGGACAAGTAGTCTTTTTGAGGAGAAGTCCCAGTCTCCCTACCTATCAAATCCTGCCCACTGATGAAAGTTATTTTAGATCTAGATAGGGAGCAGAGATTGTGGCAACAGGATAAGTGGCTTGGACTTGGCATTATCAACATAGCAGTCTGCTACTTCTGCCCACCCTCTGCCTTAAAGACGTTAACGTCTTGAGGCTTAGCAGTATTTCTGGGGGAAACCCTCAGAGGCCGTTTTGCACTGCAACCCATATCAGCCTGTTTGTTTAACAAAACAACAATAGTAGCAAGCTAATAAACAACAAGCAGCTAATATTAGCCACCATTAGCTTACCGTTCTCTGCTGAATGGTCCAGTATATCCCTGGGTACTTTTCCTTCAAGCTTGATGTTGTCTGTTATTGTTTTGTTGCAAATCTCTTAATATATTTTAACAAGGCCTATTTAAGATATCTAATTATATTCTGACTAGTATAAATAACATAAGATATATAATTAGGTTGTATGGAGACTCCAGTTCCAGATATCTTAAATGTATCTTTAGATATGAGATTCACTATATAAGACTCAATTAATGCAAACTGCAGACTTTCATGTTCTGTAAATTGTATTTAAAACAAAGCTGCTGCTGTTGATCATTCTGTTTTTATAAGCAGCCCTCCTAAGACCAGTACTCTAGGGCAGGGGTGTCCAAACTACGGCCGTTTTTATTGGCCCGCAGCAAATTCTGAAAATATAATTGAATATGGCCCGCACAAGAAGCAGTCCATTTATTGCGGAGCCTCTAGCTCCGGTTCTGAGTGTCTGATCCAGGTAGGATAGGCCTTGTTTTAAAGCTCTGGATCTGCGCTACAACCTGGTGATGGTTGCAAGTTCCTGGGACGTTCCCCTGCGGAGTATAATCGGTCAAATGTTGGCAGGCGAACTCCGGCGGGTGAAACGGCTGAATTTCAGCACAGGGCTGCTGGTGCTGATGCAGGGGAATAAAAGGAAGAGATCCAGTCAGGTGGAACCGGTCCTGGATGCTGAGCACCGGGTTTTATAGCCGCCTGCCTGCTAAAAAACCCTCGGGCGATATTTCTGCAATAATGCAAATAATTCAGAAACCCACCTGATGGATCTGTTCCACGCAATAAAAGGAACAGATCTGATCAGGTGGAACCGGTCCTGAAAGCTCAGCACCGGGTTTTATACCTGCAAGCAGGTGCAGCCCCTCGCGGGCGATATTTCTGCAAAAAGGCCTAAAAATGGATAAAAATCACAAACCACAGTGACCTTATAGGTGAGTTAGAAATACACACATTATTGATGTATCAATGTGTCACTTCCAGTGTGTGGCCCGGCCCTTTGTTTTTTTTTCTGTATTTGGCCCTCACTAAAAAAGGTTTGGACACCCCTGCTCTAGGGGAAACACTGGAAAGGTCTAAAAACGTTTTTGAAGATGTTTTTGATAAAACAAGTGACTGACTGTGAGTGACTCAGTCTGCATCTGTTTAATCAGATGTCATATATTATGTACCTCTGTATAACCATGTTAATAGTTTTGTAGTACAGATACAGTGCACGTTTTTCTTATATTTTAACAAATTTTGAACATTTTTGTTTCGGGCAGGTAACATCTTTCGTCAAAAAAAACATCTTGTTGAACCCTGGATTTTACACAGTGAAAATTGCCGGCTGCTTGCTTTTGAACCATATCATGTATGACTGAGATGATAGTGTTTGTGATGGTAAAATACAAAGCTTTATAACGATATATTTATACTCAAGAAGCGAAGCAGAACATTCCTCTTGTTTTTCATAGTAAACTTCAGATGTGTTTCCTCCCCTCTGACCTGCAGCAGTGTTCCCTGTTTGCCAGAAAGTTGTAAACTTGAGTTACCGTATTTTTCGGACTATAAGCCGCTCCCGCCATTTAAAAAAAAAAACCCGCGAACATTAACATATAAGCCGCACCGGACTATAACCCCCAACATGAAAAAAAACAGTACACCCAAAATTGTCGTTAAAAAAGTGAGTTCACCATCAAAACATAAAAAGCAAACCTTTAAGAATTAAAGTTCGGAGGAATACGGTTCATTTAACTGACCTTATTTTGGTAGTTTTCTTTAACAGTTTCTGGTCCAACAAAACGTCTCATTCATCTTCCTCCAGCGCACTGAAACCATCGAAGTCCTCCTCTTCAGTGTCGGAGTTAAACAAGCTGAGAAAAGCTGCGTCACACAGCGGTATCTGTTGTCCTCCCGGGGTAATGCTGGCTCTGAAGCTGTGGTGTCCTCTTCACGTAGCAGTCCAGCCTTTCAGAACCCATTGGTGATGGTGGACTCATTCACTCTGCTCCACGCTGTTAGGATCCACTGGCAGACATCAGGAAATGACGCTCTTCACATTTAGCCAGTTTTTGTGAATGATTTATCCCTGTCAGTCATCCAAGCCTCCCATTCAGCCCTGAGTGCTGCTTTAAATGCACGATTCACACTGATGTCCAGGGGTTGTAAAAACTTTGTTGTACCTCCAGGAATAACAGCAGGAAGTGAGTTTGTTTTCTTGATGGCTGCTTTCACCGAATCCGTGATGTGGGCCCACATACTGTCCAATATCATGTCTGTTGAGGATCCATCGTGTCGTGTCTGCTACTAGCTAAAACAAAATGGAGCTACACCTCTGGCTAAGATGGCAGTATGGTCGCTCGGCTGTCGACCGGTCGACGCGCCATCACGTGATTGTTCAGCGTTTGTTTTCGCACTGACCTTTCATAGTTCCCCTGAGAAACCCCGAGCCGAGCTGCTGGGAAAGCCCTCCTGCTCCAGCATACGTCACTGCATGGGATTCCTTCCCCGGGGAGTGCAATGCAAAAAAAAAGTCAGCGGTTCTTCACTCGACATTTATCCACAAACTGGTCCTGGATTAAGCTCCAAAGTTTTATCAGTCAGATTCCACCGTGAAAAATGTCTGTTTTATCCCCTTTTATGAGTTTTAGGCCATTGACTATCTTTAAATCGCTGCTTCCTGGTACAACAGTTGGCTCTGGAGTCGATCGCCTTTTTCTCCTTTTTTTCCCTTTCTTTTTTGAAGCGATTGGTTGAAGCAAATGCAGCATAAGAGCCCACTGGTGGCTGAAGAAAAAAATCCACATATAAGCTGCACCGGACTATAAGCCGCATGGTTCAAAGTTCAGGAAAAAAGTTGCGGCTAATAGTCAGAAAATTACGGTAATTATTTAACGTATTATTTTTTTACTGTAATTAACTAGTTAAATTTAATTAATACATTAACGTCCTGGCCCTAGTTGTTATTAAAAAAAGATTTATTGATTTTAGGGCATTGGGAAATGGGCTGTTGGAAACTGAGGAGGATGTTGAAATGATGCCTCTCTAGCTAAAAGCCTGCCTGAGACACAACCTGCTGCAGCTTGGTAACAAAGGTTCTCCTGCAGCTGCACCACAGTCCTCAGGAGCTTCTGCAGCTGTGCAGTGGAGAGCAGCCTCACAGCAGTCTGATGTTTACATCAGAAGATGCTACAGCAGAGCTGCTGGCGTTATGAAAGACTCCACCCATCCTGATCATGGACTGTTCGCACCCTGCCTTCTTGTAGGAAACGACAGCGAAAATTCAAAGTCACATCAACCAGACTAAAGAACAGTTTCTTTCCAGAAGCAGTCAGGTTCATAAACACGATCATAAATCATTTATAAACACGATAAAATCCTCTGCTCCTCTAGATTACTGTGGTCTTTACTGTTGGCAAACTGGGACTTCAGTTTTTGTTCTCTTGACTCATTTGTAACGAAAAACTCCTTAAATTCTTGAATTTGTCATTGCAGGTGTACCAGAGCCCTGTATCACAGCAGTGTAAATGCCTTGGAAGAAATGAGTGATGAGGAGCTTCAGGAACTCTTCAGGGAGGCTCCTTTCCATGAGCTGCTTTATGAGCCAGGGACCTCTGTGATAGAAGCGTGTCGCAAGGTCTGTGCCATCCCTGACGGGCCCAAAGGGTAGGCAGCAAACTCCTCCTATTAATTAATGCAGTTCTGTATTTCTACTGTCTGCTGTAGCATAATATTCTGCAACAAAGAAAATGAAAAACTTCAGGAATTCTTATACATGCATCTTTAGTCCCAATGAAAATGAATAGACATGTCTTAGGCCGTACATCTTAGTTGTTTAACAGTAATTGTACACACAGGCGGGGGTCGACGAGCACATTTTAAGTTGTCCGAGACAACCAACCACATCCCGCCTCCTGGTTGGGCCGGTGGACAACCAAGTAAAAAGACTTAAAGTTCTCCGCTTTGACAGATGAAAAATGAAACGGAGCAAAAAAACTTGTTCAAGCCATCTAGACCAGTGTTTCCCAAAGTTGGGGTCGGGACCCAAAGTGGGGTCCCAAAACATCAATGTGGGGTCCTGAAAATATTTTCTGAGGTAATTACGTTTTTGTCTTAGTTGTCACAAAGGAGTGGGGTTAGTGTATTTAAAATGGATAAATGTAGTATAAAAATATTGTTACTATGCCCATGTTTTGTTGACCTGATACAAATGTTTATCATCCAAAACCAGCTGGGGGCACAGGTCTCTGCTACTGTTATTTTGTGGGTCAAAAGCTGCACTTTGGTTCCCAAAGTTGGGCTTGGGACCCAATTATGGGTCACGAAGCACCTTGGATTAGTGTATTTAAAATGGATAAATGTAGTATAAAAATAATTTTACTATGCCCATGTTT